AGCGCTGCACGGTTTCCCCCGGGGCCGTAGGCGACCCGAGGGGGAGGAGGAGGGGGAGGAGGAGGAGAAGGAGGAGGAGGAGAAGGAGGAGGAGGAGCAGGAAGAGGAGGAGGAGGGGGAGGAGGAGGGGGAGGAGGGGGAGGAGGAGGAGAAGGAGGAGGAGGAGAAGGAGGAGCAGGAAAGAGGGAGGAGGAGGAGGAGGAGGAGGGAGGGAGGAGGGCGAGAAGGAGGAGAGGAGGAGGAGGAGGGCGAGAAGAGAGGAGGAGGCGAGAGAGGAGGAGGAGGAGGAGGCAGGGGGAGAGGAGGAGGAGGAGGAGGGGGAGGAAGGAGGAGGGACGGGAGGAGGAGGAGGAGGAGGGGGTAGTTAGGGAGGGGAGGAGGAGAGGATAGCGAGAGGGAGAGTTGAAATAGGAGTGAGGGGTGAGGAGAGGAGGGAGAGGCGAGGAGGGGGAGTCGGGGGGAGGAGGAGCAGAGGGAAGGAGAGGCCTCGAGAGTAGGTGCGAGGGGAGTGGCGGAGGGGGGGGTGGCGGGTGGAGGGCAGGGAGGGGTGGAGTGAGTGTGGGCGAGAGGGGAGGGAGGCCGACGCTTGGAGGGAGGGAGTGGCGGGAGGTAGGAGGGGCGAGGTGAGAAGAAGGAGGGGTGGCTGGAGGAGGAGGAGGAGGAGAACGACGGGTCGCTTAAGCCCTTCGGAGAAGCCCTCCAGAAAGCGCCCAAGAGGGGGCGGCTCGCAACTCACGCGGCACGCGGGCGGACGAAGGGGGGGCCAGGAGGCGTGCTGAAAGAAGACGGTGCGGGGAAGAAGAGGGGGTTATGAGATTCGGAGAGATACAGTCGGCCCGCATCAGGAGGATGCGCGAGAAGGATGCAAAGGCCGTGGACGCCCATTCCGAGGCTTTCCGAGCGGGGAACGGCCAACGCGCGTGGCGAAGGATGGACCGAGGAGGCAAGGATGCAAGGGTATCCTTGGGGAGGTTGCCCACCCTTCCCATGCGGGTTGACTAGAACTCGGCCGTGATGCCCTCCCCCTCCCCTGTCACCCCCCGAATGGCCGCCCCCGACCGGGGCACCGCGGATGCTCTCGCAGCTCAGCCACGGCAGGCTGCTGTCGGTGGCGTCGCTCTTCATGCTCGTCGTGCGGCGCACGGGCAGGCTCGCCTGAGGACCGGGGCGCCAAAACAGCACCTCTGCTTTGGGGGGGGAATCTGCGGCACCCGCCGATGCCGAGCTGGTCGCCGGATGGAGGGGGGGGGGCACGTGGGCCTGCCCTGAGATCCCGGCGCTGCAATTTTTGCACGCCGGGCGCTTTCGCTCCCAGTTTCGGGCCCCAGGACCTTCACAGATCGGTCCAGCTCGACAAATGCCCCAGAAAGATGGGGTCTATAGGGCTCTGGTCGTGATTTCTTGCGGTGTTGCAATTTTTGTTGTTGCAGCGTCGGGGATCTCAGGGTGCGCCTGCCGCCCAGACACGCGGCGTCCTGATGTCTGGCAACGCGGGTGCCCAGCAGAAGTCCCGACCCTGCCCCCCCGGGACCGGATTCTCGGGCCGAGAGGTTGTTCGGCGGCCCCGGGGCCCAGGGAGAGAACCTCTGCAGGCCAGAAGCGGCGACAAAAAGCCCGCATGGATCTAGCCACGGCGCGAGCATCCATATCTGCTGTGGCTTCGGGCAGCTTGGCTTAGATCGGGCATGTCCCCTGTACAGGCGGATTTGGGACGAACAACTGAAGAATACTAAACAACAAAGTAGCCCAAAAAGGTCAAACAATAGTCGAAGAACCGCCCCCAGACTATGTATGTTTTGAATGTCTTTGAATATTCCTCCTGTAGAGGGACAGGCCCGACTTAAATCTTGCCACGACGCGAGCATGCATGTCTGGTGTGGCTTCGGGCAGCTTGGCAGGGCCTGGCGAGGGTTGGAGCCCGTCGCCCGGCAGGCCTCGGACTCGGTGTGCGAGGCCCGCGAGGCGTCCGAGCAGACCTTCCCCGCCGACGCACGCGAGCCGTCCGACGATCCGCCGCCGCGCCCCTGGCGCGCGGCGGGAAGTCTTAAGTCGGGCCCAGACTCCCTCGAGCAATGAAAAAAAGACGACGGGAGGTGTTTCGTTATGTTCGGCTTCTGTGGGCCCCTACCGGGCCTCGGGGCCGTGAACAAAACGATCCAGGATGAAGAGCCGGCACCTGGGAATAATTAGGTCGAGAACTCTGGGGGTCGACGTGATGAACAAATCATGACGTCGGGGGTCTGGGAAGAGAGAAAGCTGAGTGCAAAACACATGCGCACAAATGCCGTGGCCTCACAGGGCGTCGCAAGACCGCTTCACGGCTGCGCGACAGGCTGCGGCAGAAATCACGCCATCACGCCAGAGCTGCGGCAGGGCCTCCTCAACCCCCGCGGCCCGGACAGCGTGGGCAAAAACTGATTGATCCAGCTCAAGTCCAAAAACTGAACAAAATCATTCGGCCTCAAGACGTCGGGGTCTGGACCCGAGAGGCCAGAGCCGCGCGAAAGTCTGAAGCAGCTGCATGGTGTCGCCACGCTCGCCCCCGCCCCCCCTGAAGCCGACTTCCTGCACCGACGACGGGCCTCCCCATGGGGCGACCGCTGGTTTCGCCGACGGCTGGTTTCGCCCGGTTGGTTTCGCCTGGCTGGTTTCGCGGCTCCGTCGGCGAAACCAGCTGCCGTCGGCGAAACCAGCTGCCGTCGGCGAAATCAGCTGCCGTCGGCGAAACTGTCCGACCCGATGCACATGCTAGGGTCCGCCCGCCCGACACGACCCGCCCGTTAGGGTTCGCGCGTGCTCGGTCGAGCGCGCCCCACACTTTAGTGTCCCGCCCGCCCGACCCGCCCGTAAGAGTCAGCCCGCCCGACCCGACCCGACCCGCCCGCTAGGGTCTGCCCGACCAGACCCGCCCGTTAGGGCTCGCGTCGGCGAAACCAGCGCCGGCGAAGCCAGCGCCGGCGAAACCAGCCGTCGGCGAAACTAGCGGGGCGAAACCAGCGCCGGCGAAAGCAGCCCATGCATCCTGAGGCCGCCCCAGCCGCCTTCCGCTTCTCACCCGGTACGCCCCCCTCCACTACCCGAGATCCCTTCCGACCCCTCCGCCCCCGCCACGCCACTTCCGACTCTGGCGCCACGCCGATCCGACACGGCACTGGCCTGCGACGCTGGGGGCGCGAGTGACTGAAACGAGGGATCCTGCGAGGAAGAACTCTCGTTGGCGGCGCGCACTAGGGGGTGGAGGGAGGGGGGAGGGCTTCTTAGAAGGAGGCTGCTTCTTAGAAGGCGCCGGCCTTACATCTATAGGTGAGGCCCGCGCCTTCTAAGAAGCAGGGGTGCTTCTAAGAAGCCCTCCCCCCTCGCCCCCTCCCCCCTTCTGCGCGTGGCTGACCTCAAGAGCGTCCAAGCTGGTCCCAGAAAAGCCCTTGACGGCCCCACGGCGGACCCCGAGTCCCACGGCAGGGGCCCCCGAGACGGGGCACAAGATGGCCTCCAAGAAGCCTCCAAGACGCCCAAGATGGCCTCCAGGACGGCTAAGATGGCCCCAAAATGCCTCCAACACGGCCCACGATGCACCCAAGAATGCCTAAGATAGCCTCAAGATGGCCCAAGACGGCCCAAGAGCCCCCTAAGAGGTCTCCAAGACAGCCCAAGAGGCTTCCAAAAGGTCCTCCAGGAGGGCTCGAAGAGGCCAAAAACATGTTTTTTTGGTTTGAAAGATAATGACACTTGCTTCTTTTCGGCATTCCGACAGCCCAAGAGGCCCCCAAGATCGCCAAAGAGGTCTCCAAGATAGCCCCATGACGGCCCTACGAGGCCCCTACGAGGCCCCCAAGATGTCCCCCAAGAGGGCCCCAAGACGGCCCGAGAGGCCTCGAAGACGCCCAAGATGCTTCCAAGACGGCTGAGATGGCCCCAAGATGCTTCCAACACGGCCCACGATGCACCCACAACGGCCTAAGATGGCCTCAAGATGGGCCAAGACGGCCCAAGAGGCCCCCAAGAGGCCTCCAAGACGGCCCAAGAGGCCTCAAAGAGGTCCTCCAGGAGGGCTCGAAGAGGCCAAAATCATTGATTATCCTTAGGTTGTTGAAGGAGTTTGCTTCTTTTCGGCATTCCCACAGCTCAAGACGACCCCAGAGGCCTCCAAGATCGCCCACGAGGCCTCCAAGATGGCCCGATGACGGCCCAAGAGGCCCCGAAGACGCCCCCAAGAAGGCCCAAGAGTCCTCCAAGACGGCCAAAATGGCTTGTAAGATGGCTAAGATGGCCCCAAGATGCCTCCAAGACGGCCCAAGATGCACCCAAGACGGCCTAAGATGGCCTGAAGATGACCCCATGACGGCCAAAAAGGCTCCCAAGACGGCCCCAAGAGGGCCCCGACACGACCCAAGAGGCCTCCAAGACGCCCTAGGTGGCCTTGAAGAACCCCTGTTATGAGGGCCCCAAGACGACCCAGACAGGCCCCCAAGACGGTTTCCGACGGCGTCAGACAAAGGAACGCCCTAAGACGGCCAGAGAAGCCCCCAAGAAGCCCCCAAAGGCCCCCAAAAACCCTCTAAGAGGCCCCCAGGAAACTCCCAGGAGGCCCCAAGAGTGCCCCAAGAGGCGCCCAAGAGGCCTCCTCCTCCTCCTCATCCTCCTCCTCCTCCTCTTCTTTTTTCCTCATCCTCCCCCTCCTCCTGTTCTTTCTCCCCCATGCGTTCCCCGAAGTCTTTCCAAACCGACTCAGGGACAAACTGGCCCGATAGCTTGGCCAAGCTCTGGCTGGCCCCACTGTCGGCCACAGAGGCGCTTCCAAAGGGGCAGGGGGCGGCGGTGATTCGCCGTAGTCGTCTTCGATCCGCCGCCCCCTGTCGATTCATCGCAAGGGTGCCTGGCGTGCTAAATCCTTTCGGCTTTGGTTTTGGTTCTTTTTCGAAAAGAACTCCCCCGGGGGCGTCGGCCCGTCCTGCCGGCCACCTGGGAAGATTGCCCAGAGACATCCAGAGGTGGTTGCAAAGGGTTTTTCCTGCTCCAAACGGCTCCAAGACGGCCCAAGATGGCCTCCAAGACGGCTAAACTGGCCCCAAGATACCTTCAACATGGCCCACCCAAGAGGCCTCCAAGACAGCCCAAGAGGCCTCCAAGATGTCCTCCAAAAGGGCCGAATAGGCCAAACTCCCAAGAGGCCTCCAAGACAGCCCAAGAAGCCTCCGAGACAGCCCAAGAGGCCCCATGACGGCCCAAGAGGCCCCCAAGACGGCCCCAAGAAAGCCCCAAGACGGCCCAAGAGGCCTCCAAGCCGCCCAAGATGGCCTCCAAGACGGCTGAGATGGCGCCAAGATGCCTCCAACACGGCCCCAGATGCACCCAAAACGGTCTGAGATGGCCTCAATATGGCCCAAGACGGCCCAACAGGCCTCCAAGACGGCCCAAAAGGCGTCCAGGAGGTCTTCAGGAGGACACGAAGAGGCTAAAATCATTGATTTCCCTTAGATTGTTCAAGGATTTTGGCGTTTGCTTCTTTTCGGCATTCCGACGGCTCAGGCTCAAGACGACCCCAGAGGCCCCCAACATCGCCCACGAGGCCTCCAAGATGGCCCCATGACGGCCCAAGAGGCCCCGAAGACGGCCCCAAGAAGGCCCAAAAGCTTCCAAGACGGCCAAACTAGCCTCCAAGACGGCTAAGATGGCCCCAAGATGCCTCCAAGACAGCCCAGCATGCACCCAAGACGGCCTAAGATGGCCTCAAGATGGGGCAAGACGGCACAAGAGGCCCCCAAGAGGCCTCCAAGACGGCCCAAAAGGCGTACGGGAGGTCTTCCAGGAGGGCACGACGAGGCTAAAATCATTGATTTGCGTTGTTCAAGGATTTGGGCATGTGCTTCTTTTCGGCCTTCCAACGGCTCGAGACGGCGCAAGAAGCCCCCAAGATCGTCCAAGAGGCCTCCGCGATGGCCCCATGACGGCCCAGAAGGCTCCCAAGACGGTTCCAAGAGGGCCCCAAAACGGCCCAAGAGGCCTCCAAGACGCCCAAGATGGCATCTAAGAACTCCTGCTATGCCCCAAGACGACCTAGACAGGCCCCCAAGACGGCTTTCGACGGCGTCAGACAAGCCAGGAACGCCCTAAGACGGCCAGAGAGGCCCCCAAGAAGCCCCCAAAGGTCGCCAAAAACACTCCAAGACGCTCTCAGGACGCCCCCAGGAGGCCCCAAGAGGCGCCTAAGAGGCCTCCTCCTCCTCCTCCTCCTCCTCCTCCTCCTCCTCCTTTTTTTTCCTCATCCTCCCCCTCCTCCTCTTCTTGCTCCCCCATGTGTTCCCCGAAGTCTTTCCAAACCGACTCGGGGAACAACTGGCCCGATAGCTTGGCTAGGCTCTGGCCCAGTTGTCGGCCACAGAGGCGCTTCCGAAGGTGCAGGGAGCGGCGGTGATTCGGCGTAGGCGTCTTCGATAACGACGGGAAATTGTTTGCCATTTTCGGCCTCTGGGGGGCCCTGGAAAGCCCTAAGACCCTCCAAAACGACTCGGGTTGAAAAGCCGGTCCTGGGAATTGGGTCGCGATCTGTGGTAACCAAGGGTGCCCTCTGCGGTCTTGAAACAGGGGTACCCCGCGTGCTGGATCCCACCGCTTCTGGTTTTGGTTCTTCTCCCAAAAAATTCGCCCTGGGGCTTCGGCGGTCACCCGGAAGGCGCCCAGACGAGCACGACGTCCTGAAAAAAATCTCCAAGACGGCTCGGGATGGCTTCTAGGAGGGTCACGTTGGCCCAAGATGGTCTCACAGTTCGCCCAAGATGGTCCAGTATGGCCTCCAAGACGGCCCAACAGGGTCCAAGATGCATCCAAGTCCGCCCAAGAAGCCTCCAGGACGGCCTCCAAATGGCCCAAGACGGCCCATGGGGCCCACACGAGAGCTCCAACCTCCAAGAGGTCCTCTAGGAGGGCCCGGCGAGGCCAAAAATAATGTTCCATCGTTTTTGTTTGATTTTAATATTCGCTTCTTTTCTGCTTTCCGACGGCCCAAGAAGGCCCAAAAACGACCCAGTAGGCCTCCAAGACGGCCCCAGTTCACCTCAAGCAGGCCCCAAATCGGCCGACAGAGGCTCCCAAGATGCAACCTCCTCCTCCTCCTCCTCCTCCTCCTCCTCCTCCTTCTACTCCTCCTCCTCCTCCTCCTCCTCCTCCTCCTCCTCCTCCTCCTCCTCCTCCTCCTCCCTCCTCCCCTCACCTCCCACTCCTCCTCCTCCTCCTCCTCCTCCTCCTCCTCCTCCTCCTCCTCCTCCCTCCTCCTCCTCCTTCCTCCTTCCTCCTCCTCTCATCCTCCACTCTTCCTCTTCCTCCTCCTCCTTCCGTCCTCCTCCTCCTCCTCCTCCTCCTCTTCCTCCTCTTCCTCTTCCTCCTCCTTCATCCTCCACAAGTGTTCCCCGAAGGGTTTTCACAACGGCTTGGGAAACACATGGTCCGATAGCTTGGCAGAGCTCTTGCGACAACGCCCGGCCACATGGGCGATTCCAAAAGGCAACGGGCGGCGGTGATTCGCCGTAGGCGTCGTCGATCCACTGCCCTCTGCGATCTTGCCTCACGGGTGCTCGGCGTGCTGAACCCTATACGGTTTGGTCTTAGTTCCTTTTCCAAGAAAACTCCCCCTGGGGCTTCGGAACGTCCCGCCGGCCACCCGGAAGGCCGCACAAACAACCTCAACGTGAACAACATACATCTCCAAGACGGCTCAAGATGGATTCTAAGATGGTCACGTTGCCTCAAGATGGCCTCCAGGATGGCCCAAGACGGTCCAAGTTGCCTCCAAGTCCGCCGAAGAAGCCACAAAGACGGCCCAAGATGGCTCCAATATGCCTCCGAGTCCGCCCAGAGACCTCCAAGATGGCCCAAGATGACCCAAGAGGCTCCCAAGAGGCCTCCAAGAGGTCCTCCAGGAGGGCCCGAAGAGGCCAAGATCATGGTTTGTCCTGAAGTGTTTGAAGGATTGTGGCATTCGCTGCTGATCGGCTTTCCGACAGTCCAAGGCGGCCCAAGAGGGCCTCGAGATCGCCCCAAGATGGCCCCAAAGACCTCCAAGATGACCTCCTGACGGCCCAAGAAGCCTCCAAGACAGAGGCATCCAAGTTCGCCCCAGAAGGTCCAAGGTGGACTCCAAGACGGCCATAGAGAGGCCAAGATGGCCTCCAAGACGGCCCAAGAGGGCCCAAGAAACTTCCAAGTCCGCCCACGAAGCCTCCAAATCGGCCCAAAACGGCTCCACAAAGGCCCAAAGTCGGCCCAAGAGGCCCCCAAGGGTCTCCAAGACGGCCGAAGAGGCCTCCAAGAGGGCTTCCCAGAAGGCCCGAAGAGGCCAAATTCAGTGATTTGTCGTAGGTGTTTGAAGGATTTGGGCATTTGCTTGTCTTCTGGCTTCCGACGGCCCGAGACAGCCCAAGAGCCCCCAGAGATCCCACGATCGCCCAAGAGGCCTCCAAGATGGCCCCGGAACGGCCCAAGAGACTCCCCAAGACGGCTCCAAGGAGCCCCAAGACGTCCCAAGATTGCCTCCAAGACAGCCCTGCAGCACCCCGGGCCAGACAGGTCCCCAAGACGGCGTTCGAGGGCGTCAGACGGGCCGGGAGGCCACCAAGACGGCCCAATATAACTGCAAGATGGCCTTAGACTGCCAAAGAGGCCTCCAAGACGGCCCAAGAGGCCTCCAAGAGGGCCTCCCAGAAGGCCCGAAGAGGCCAAATTCAGTGATTTGTCGCAGGTGCTTGAAGGATTTGGGCATTTGCTTGTCTTCTGGCTTCCGACGGCCCGAGACGGCCCAAGAGCCCCCAGAGATCCCACGATCGCCCGAGAGGCCTCCAAGATGGCCCCAGGACGGCCCAAGAGACCCCCAAGACGGCTCCAAGGAGCCCCAAGACGCCCCAAGATTGCCTCCAAGACAGACAGGTCCCCAAGACGGCGTTCGAGGGCGTCAGACGGGCCGGGAGGCCACCAAGACGGCCCAAGATAACTGCAAGATGGCCTTAGACTGCCGAAGAGGCCCCCAAGAACTCCAAGACGGCCCAAGAGGCCTCCAAGAGGGCCTGCCGGAAGGCCCGAAGAGGCCAACATCAATGATTGTCGTAGGTGTTTAAAGGATTTGGGCATTTGCTTGTCTTCTGGCTTCCGACGGCCCGAGACGGCCCAAGAGCCCCAAAAGTTTGCCCCACGATCGCCCAAGAGGCCTCCAAGATGGCCCCAGAACGGCCCAAGAGGCCCCCAAGACTGCCCCATGAGGGCCCCATGACGGCCCAAGAGGCTCCCAAGACGCCAAGATGCTCCAGGCCCCAAGTCGGCCCCAAAAGGCCCCCAAGATGGCTTCCGTCGGCGTCAGACGGGACAGGAATGCCCTAAGCCCTAAGACGGCCAAAGAGACCCCCGAGACGCTCCCAAAGGCTTCCAAGAGGCCCAAGGAGGCCCAGGGAGGCCCCCAACAAGCCTTCAAAGGGCTCCCAGAAAGCTCCCCGGAGGTCCCAAAGTGCCCCCAGAGCCTCCCAAGATGCCCCCTCCTCCTCCTCCTCCGCCATCCTCCCCAAGTGTTCCCCCCGAAGGGTTTCCACAACGGCTGGGGGGAACACATGGTCCAGCAGCTTGGCAGAGCTCTGGCCGCAACGCCAGGCCACATGGGCGATTCCAAAAGGCAAGGTGCGGCGGTGATTCGCCGGAGGCGTCTTCGATATGTTCCCTGCCAGAAGGCCGACGATCGAAGGCTTGCACCTGAGGGAAGACGTCCTCCCGACGTCCACATCAGACGCGTCGATGCACTCGTTGGACGCGTCAATGCACTCGACGTCCTTGTTGGGCTGCTCCTTTGCGCCCTCATCCGGGATAGTGCCCCAGTTCTTGTCGGGCGGTTCGTCGAGCGACAGGTCATCCGCTGGCAGGTCCTGGACGCAATCGCTCGACTCGTGGGCCGACTCCACGTGCGTACGGGGGCCTGAGCGACGCGAGCAGCCAGAGAGACGAACAACGGATTCGGCGAGTCGCTGAGGTGCATTCCAAGCTGATGTAGAAATCGTGGAACGCCTTTTCTCGTGCCGACCAGGGTCAAAGGATGGGGAGATGTGGCTCATGATGTCGGCACCGCCGTGACAGGCGCTTAGCCTCGTAACGCCCCACGACGGCCGCAAAGAAGACCGCTGAGACGCCCTGTTGGAGGACGAGCAACTCTCAAGACCCATAAGATGGATGGCCTCCACGACGAGGCCGAAACTTTTCTGCTGGCTCTCCAGCTGGCCCTCCAAGCGCGAAGAGGCAACCTGACGGGGCGGAAGAAAATTAACAAGGGCTCCTATATTCGCGCTTCGCGCTGCGCGAAGCGCGAAGCGCGAATAACTTCGCGCTCTCGCGCCGCCCCCCAAGGGGGAGAAGAGGAGGACGAGGAGGAGGGGGAGGAGGAAGGAGGACGGCGAAGCGCGAAGCGCGAATAACTTCGCGCCCTCCTGGGAGCCCTTGATTAAGCAATTTTGCAGTATTCGCGCTAACGCCCGTTACCGGCCCCGCCACACCCCCGGTCACGTCACGGTTTGCGCTGGCGCCGTCCGGGAATTGTGGACCAGCCGTTCCTGGACATGCCCTGATGGCGTCTGCGCGACTCGTGACGCTACAGGCTCCCCCCCCGAGATTCTTGTTGTTATCACTTTCGGTAACGGTCGTCACCCTGGGGGGGCGGGGGCGTTGGGGCCCCGGGCAGCGGTGACGCTCGGGCGGGGTGGGGCGTGTCGAGGCGGGGGTGCGCTGCGATCGCCATGTCATGCGCGCCTGCGTGCGATCGCCACCCTTGCAGGAGGGCGGGGGCTCCAGGCCCCGCCCACGCACGATCGTTACCCTTGCAGGAGGTCGGGCCTGTCCACCTACAGGGGGATTTGGGACGAAAAATTTAAAGTACCCCAAGATGCTCAAACGATGCCCAGAAACATTAAAAAATTGTCCCCGAATTATTTTTTGATTATTTGTGAATATTCCCCCTGTAGAGGGACAGGGGCGACTTAACGTTACCCTTGCAGGAGGGGGGGGGCGGTATGTCCCGGGTAGCGACCGTCACGCAACAAAGGATAAAACACACAACAAGTGCTCCCAACTTCGCGCTCTCGCGCTGCGCGCAGCGCGAAGTGTGAATAACTTCGCGCTCTCGCGCCGCCTCCCAGTGGAGAAGGGGAGGATGAGGAGGAAACGGAGACGAACCGCGAAGCGCGAACAACTTCGCGCCCTCGAGGGCGCCTTTGAAACAACAAGCTCCCGGTCACTCAGGAACACAAGACGGGGACCATGACCAAGACTGAACGCGAAAAGTCGGCGTCGATCTTGGTGGTCGTCCACCTTGGTCAGCGTCAAGTCGTGAAGCATCCTCGCGAATCGGCGACGGCCAGCATGGATTACACGGTAGAGGCACGCCAGGACGTTTCGCCACTGCTCGAGATCCTCTGACCCCGTATCCTCCGACCCCACCTGGGAGGCCCAGATCTCCTGCTGCCCAACGGCCCCTCGGCCCACTTCTGGGGAACCACACGGCACCGATGCCGCTGCTCCCCAGACCTCTCCCGGGGTGCGTTCTGACCAAGATGTCGGGGCGAATCAAGTGGTGGCGACGAGGGCCGCCCAGGAGGCTCCAACAAAAGGGACAATGAGGCAGGGATACCTGCTCCTCCTCTGGCCTTCGGCGGCCCCCGGGCAGTCTTCCCAGACAGCCCCCTGGCGGTCCTCGGTGCGCGAGCCAGTGATGGCCAGTTACGCTCCGACAGGTCGGAGGAGGACCAGTGAAGGCAACGGCGGCCCTCCCGCCAGGCCCACGTGGGCGACTTCGGACCCCCCGAGCCCAAAGACGTCTGCTCATCCCTATGGGAGCGCATCTGGTGATTCCTTGTTTCTGTTCGACGCTACACCCTTTAAGATTCGGCTGGATGTCTTGCGACGGGGCTCGATGAAAAACAGCCGCATTCGCGGGACACCTTGTAAATCCGCCGCCTCCCGCCAGCTTTTTTTTGCTTGTCTCCCACTGGTGCGGGCACGCTGGGAACACATCGCCCAGTCGCACGGCCCCACCCTCGCGCACCCCCTCCTCCGAGGGGATGGCCAAAGCGGGCAGCCGCTCCGAGGTCCTTCTGGCCCCACGCGGGCCCTCGCCCCTGAAGGAGGAAAATAACCTACACCTAAACCTCACGTAAGCCCAAAAAGCCCTAAATCTAAACCTACACCAAAACCTTATATACTACCGGCCGCCCCGCCAACCTTCTGCCGGCTTCCGCTGGCGGAACCGGCCTCGCTTCACCGCCGCCGACCTTCCGCCGCCTTCCGCCAAGGAAAAGATGGTACCTCCTTCGACCAGTGGGAGCTCGGCCACAAGAAGCCTTCCATAGAAACCCAACCCCGAGACCACGGTACGTCCAGTGGCTTTTGGTGTGGGACCGTCGTGCTGTCCATTGCAGAACTATCGCAACCCAGAAAGCCCAGGCCACCCTGGAGGCAAGGATGAAGGGGCCCTGGGACGCACAAATAAATACACACACACCCAAATAACAAGATTCCCAATATTTCCTATATTTTCTGGGTTTCCGTCTTCCCCCCCACGTCCCATATTTTCCCATATTTTCTGGGGGATCGACGGTTAATTGTGTCTGTGTGTTTCCCCCCCCTGAGAGGAGAGTGTTCCTCCTCCCTCTCCTCCTCCTCCCTCTCCTCCTCTTCCTCCTCCTCCTCCTCCGCCTCCTCCTCCTCTTCCTCCTCGCCCTCCTCCTCCGCCTCCTCCTCCTCCTCGCCCTCCTCCTCCTCCTCCTCTTCCTCCTCCTCCTCCTTCCTTGGCATGGGCGTCCACTGTATCCTCGAGGGCGAGGCTCTGTTTGGAACGCCCCGTGTACACGTCGTTCATTCCAAATCGTGTTCATTTCTAAGCGTGCTCCTCCTCCTCCTCCTCCTCCTCCTCCCTCCTCCTCCTCCTCCTCCTCCCCCCTCCTCCTCCTCCTCCTCCTCTTCCTCCTCCTCCTCCTCCTCCTCCTCCTGCCTCTCCTCCCCCTCCTCTCCTCCTCCTCCTCCTCCTCCTCTTCCTCCTCCTCCTCCACCTCCTCTAAGCGTGCTCGTTTCTAATTGTTCCTGGCCCCTTGATGGCAAGGAAGAGGCCAAGGATAGAACAACTAGGAATGACAGGATCTTGGCCCCCCAGGAGATCAAAGATCTTTCGAGGAATTCGACATGATCAATGTGTACGCCCAGAGCCGGTGCCCAAAGACTTCCTGGGGCACAACCTGGCCCGCCTTTGTCCGGGGCGGTCGTCGGGCCGCGGCGACGGCCGGCCTCCGAGGGGCTCGGAAGTGTGCATGTAGGTCGAAGAACCTACAAGAAGTGCCGTAGGCAGAGGAAGGCAGGGGAGAGGGTAGCGATCCCTTTTTCCCATGCGCCGCAGGCAGGCGGCGCTGTACCTGTTTCCAGTACCCTGAGCCAAGTCGGCAGCAGTAGATGTGGATATGGTGGTGATCCGAGCGGACTTCGCACAGGAAGAAGACGAGAGACACGCCAGGGAGGGCCGCCGATGTCTCGAGTGGCCCCCCTCCGAAGCGCAGGGCCCTTGAGCAAACTGCTGACCTGGAAGCGAACAAACGACACAGAGGCATGACCTGTGAGAGGTCCGCACGGCATGCTTGGATCTGCGCTGGCACGCCCCCCCTGGCGCGCGGAGCGCGCCAGGGCCGCCCTTCAGGGCAATTCTTAATACATGGGATTTGTTTTTACCATCGGATTTTTAATACATGATGATTTGTGGTAGAACTCAGCGTTGTTCTTAATACTAAATCCCTGCATCTTGTTGTACATGATCCGCACGCGGAGCAAGTATTGAAAACGGCACTGTAGCAAGGGTGCCCCGGCGCCCACGCGTCCCGACCGCCTCCACGTGGGTCCGGTTCATCACGGATGCGTTTCGGCGGACCCCGAGGGCCGCAAGCGGGGGCAGGTGCCCGGGTTGCAGAACACAGTGCAGACGGAGACCTGGAGAGCTCGGCTGCGCGCAAGACGGACCCTGGGCAAGGGATGAGGATGAGGATGAGGATGAGGATGAGGATGAGGATGAGGATGAGGATGATGATGATGATAATGATGATGATGATGATGAGGAGGAGGAGGAGGAGGAGGAGGAGGAGGAGGAGAAAAACCTCCCGCCGTGACTCTCGTTCTTGGCCCGACGGGGTCGGGGGCGGAAAGTCGGCCCATCGACTGACCACCGCTCCCCGGAGCGCCTGCAGCGCCTTGAGGCGCGCGTCGATCGACGCGAGGACGCCCTCGGCCGCCGGGCCCCCCCCGGGCGCCTCCGCGCGGCCGCCGCTGCTCACCCAGCTGCCGCGAAGCTCCCTCGGCCTGCCCCGCAGACAGAACAGAGACAGCACTTCTCTCAGAGATCGGGAGCGGCCAAGAGGGGGGCGTCCGAAGGGGGGGGGTGCAACTCATGGCCGGCGGCACGTGCGCGGCCCTTGGGGGGAGCCAGGGACGCAATGAAATAAGCAGAGGCGCCCTGACATCTGGGAAGATATCATGGCCCCCGCCATGATATCCCCCCCCCCCTAGTCATCACCCCCCTCTTTGCCGCCCCCGTCGAGGGGGAGGAGGAGTAGGAGTAGTAGTAGTAGTAGTAGTAGTAGTAGTAGTAGCAGTAGTAGTAGAGTAGTAGTAGTAGTAGTAGTAGTAGTAGTAGTAGTAGTAGTAGTAGTAGTAGTAGTAGTAGTAGTAGTAGTAGTAGTAGTAGTAGTAGTAGTAGTAGTAGTAGTAGTAGTAGTAGTAGTAGTAGTAGTAGTAGTAGTAGTAGTAGTAGTAGTAGTAGTAGTAGTAGTAGTAGTAGTAGTAGTAGTAGTAGTAGTAGTAGTAGTAGTAGTAGTAGTAGTAGTAGGGAGGAGGAGGAGGAGGAGGAGGAGGAGGAGGCGCGAGGGCTTCTGAGAAGTCCCGCCGCCCTGTGGGAGGGCCAGCTCTCCCTCCTCCCCTCCAGAGATCACTCCTCCCAGTCGCACCCCGAAGCCGGTTTTGAGGGCGGGCCAGGCGTATTCCACGCCGCAGCGCGGCAGAGGGCAGTCCGCTCGTGCGCTCCAGTGGGCCGGGCTGCGCCATGGCACGAGCTGCCCGGCTGCAAGCAAGGGGAATGGAGGGGAGGAGGGCAGGAGACCAGCAGACCACATGCGAACCCTACCCCTTACCCCCCACGATTTCTGAGGGGGAGGGTGGGGTTCACTTCGCCCTCCCCCTCAGAAATCGTGGGGGGTAGGGGTAGGGTTCGCATGTGGCCTCCCAGAAGGCGGCCGCGGACGGCGGGAAGGAGAGGAGGACACTTGCGGCGCGAAGAACAACACCGAGGGCGATGACGCACAAAATGCGACGGGCGGTCTTCGGACAAAGTTCCGTCTCCGGGTTTCTTCGCCGGGCCCTGGGACCGTAAAAAAAAAAACCTCGGTATGCAAACCCGGTCCTGGAGAAGTGGTCCAGACCTCCCGGGGCCCATGCATCGAACAGTGCAGGATAATTGCTGTTGTCTTCGGCCTCTGGGAGCCCTCGCCGGCCCAAGATCACCCCAGGAGGTCCCAAGAGGCCCCCAAGAGGCCCCCAGAGGCCTCCCAAACGCTCCAAGCGGCCCCACAACGGCCCCCAAGAGGCTTCAAAACTGCCTCCACGAGACTCGTGGAGGCAATTTTGAAGCCTCTTGGGGAGTCCTGCGACATCCCAACGAACATCCCAGAGACCCAGGCCCGAAGGCCATTGGATAACGACGGGAAATTGTTTGCTATTGTCGGCGTCTCTAGGGCCCTGGAAAGCCCTAAGACCTCCAAAATGACTCGGGTTAAAAAGCTGGTCCTGGGGATTCGGTCGAGACCTGTGGTAACCAGCCTCGATCTTATCACTATCCCTAGGACTGACAAGCCCAAATGCGATGACAATCCTATGGATGCGCCCTCAGAAACTGAAGGAATCCTTGGGATCGGCATCGAGATCAGGTGATACCAATCACAGGGAGAGGGGTATCTGACCAGGCTTGCAGTCTCAGAGTCGACACCGCGAAACAACCATGAAGCCGGGGCTCCGGGTACGGCGGAAGCTTTTGCCGCGCGCACCGCGGCGGCGCCACGGCGACACGCTGCGCCCTGCGAGCGGGCAGCGTGCCGCCCCGCTCCACGGGCGTGGGAGGTGGGGGAGGGGGAGGGGGATGGAGGATGGAGGGTGGAGGATGGGGGATGGAGGATGGATGGAGGATGGAGGATGGAGGATGGAGGATGGAGGATGGAGGATGGAGGATGGAGGAGGAGGAGGAGGAGGAGGAGGGAGGAGGAGGAGTTGGGAAAGGCTCGGAACGCTGGCGCCTGGAACAGTGGGGCGTGGTCAGCGCGTCGCGCTGAGGCACGGTGGGCCAGAGCCGGCGGCGCGACACGTCAAGCAAACGGTCCCGACCGCACACGCCCGGAGGGGAACCCGTTCGTATCGACGACCTCTCGATAGGGGCGTTGATGGGGAAACCCGCAAGACACCGACACCGCTGCTCCCTGGACCTCTCCCGGTGCGCGCTCTGACCCAAAAAGGTTCGAAGTGTGAGTCCAACCGTGGCGACGAGGGCCTCCAAGGAAGCCCCCAAGAGGAGAAAACGAGGCAAGGGGCAGTGGCCAGTGGTATCGGTACCTTTCCGACCTCTGCGTCGAAGCCTATGGGCCCCCCCCCTCCCTCCCTCCCCCTCCTCCTCCTCCTCCTCCTCCTTCTCCTCCTCCCCCTCCTCCTCCTCCTCCTCCGTAGCCATTTTGGCTCATGCCATCCACCAGCGAATGACAGCCTTATTGCTCAAGCTCGCTAGGCACCATGTCTCGCGGTGTGAGAAGCGGGGAGGTCTCCGACGTGGAGGTGGCTGCGGGAGGCGCCCCAGCTGGTGGCGCCCTTTCATCATCACGTGCTTCACGGAGGTCGCGAGCTCGTGTTTCTGCTGACTGTCTCGTTCAGCGACTCTCCGGCAAGGTGGACCAGCTCGCCGCGCAGGCGCAGCTGGCTGAGGAGGCGCTCACGCTCATCGTGGGGAACTCGGAGGTTGGGGCTCGGCTCAGGGCGGTGGTGCCTGCTGTCGTGGCCCTGGTCCGCGGCGAGGAGCCCCAATGGCTCGACGTGCTCCGCCGCAACGTCGCGCTGCACGCCGACGCGGAGGACATCGATGTGGAGCACGCCTCGGCCACCCAACTCCGTCGGGCGCAGCATGGGCCCAGGCTGGAGGAGAGGAGGCGCTCCCCTTCCCGCCAGGCCGCCCGTATGCGTGCTGAGGCTCCCGAGTTCGTCCCGCGTGCCCCCGCCTCCATAGTCGGGAGCAACTGCACGTGCGGCTGTGTATTGTATTCTTCCTGCCGCTGGACCGAGCTCCCGACGACATCAGCTATTGTTTTGCAGTCTCCCACCGCCGCCTGGGGAGAATTCTCTGGCTCAGCGACACGGGAGACCCCCGCTCCGCCCTCGGAGGCGCGGGAGGTGGAAGTATTGGTGCCTGCTGTCAAGTTTCCTGCGCGCAGGGCCCCCCCCCCTGCCGCGGATGGCTCTGAGGGTGGTGGCGCCGCGTTGCCGCACGAGTCCGAGGCCCAGTTCACCAAGCAGATGGACGAGGTCAAGCCGAACTCGTCCGTCCTCCCTGCCAGCGCGTGCGAGGATCATCTCATGCTCACCGAATCCGAATTAAACGCGGAGGCGGGCGGCCTGCTTGCGAAGGCTCGGACCGACGATCCCCTGGACAAGCTGGCGCCTGCTGCTGCGCATCGTCATGGCCATGTCGATGGTGTCGATCGGGTCTCGTGTCCTTCGTGGTGGTTTGCTCGTGATCTCGTCGCCCGTGCTTGGCCGCGTGAAGCTCCAATTCGTGAAATTGTTGATGATGCTACACCTTGCGTGGGTGACGGTCCTACCGCTGATGCCACCTTTGGTTTTCGCCCAGGGTATCTTCCGTGAGGTTGTGGACGATTGTGAGTACGGCTCCAGCGCGCAGAGAGTTGGCTTCAAGGGTACTCGGCTGGACGCTCGTTCCCAACGCAACGTGACGGCGAAGTAACATCCTCGGCTCTCCTGCGACGTGTTCGGGGCTCGCCGTGGTGGCCTTCATCGTCCCCGCCCTGGAGTTCCTCCTGCCCGCGCTGCTGGAAGGGCCCAGGGATCGTTTCAGCGCCAGGGCTGGCATTTTCTTTCGCACCGTGTGGCTCGCTCGTTTGCCCGGCCTGCAGTGTCCGCCCCGCAGGCTGCATGCACCAGCCCTCGCCGGTGCCTGCAGCTCGCGGGCCTGCGCAGCTGCAGCAGGGACTCCCATGACTGGGGGGCAGAGGGTGCAGCGGCAAAAAACTCCTCCTCCTCCTCCTCCTCCTCCTCCTCCTCCTCCTCCTCCTCCTCCTCCTCCTCCTCCTCCTCCCCCTCCATTCCTTCTCCTTATGGATAATCCCACCAGCCCTCTGGGCGTCGGTGGTTTAGGGAGTCTCCTCTTCCACCCCTCCTTCTTCCCCTTCGGGGAGGGGTTTACCCCTCCCCCTACCCCCTCGCCGTGGACCTGGACGGGAGGGGCCGCGAGCGGTCAGAGCGTCCAAAACGGCCTCGGCGAGGAAGCCAAAATCATTGATGTTACTATGGTGTTGGCCCCATTTTGGCCTCCTGGGGGGCAACCCTAATTGAAGCTCCGCTCTTCTTTGATAGATCTCCTCCAAGATGGCACAAAGAAGCGCCCAGGAGGCCCCAAGAGGTCCCAAGATGGCCCCAAGATGGCCCCAAGAGGCCCCCAAGAGGCCCCCAGGCGGCCCCCAAGAGGACCCTCAGTGGCCCCAAGAGGCCCCACCCGAGGCACCCAAGACCCCGAAGAGCCCCCCAGGATCGCCAAGAGACCCCCAAGGCGTCCCAAGAGGCCACCAAGAATCGCCCAAGAGATACCCCAAGAAGCTCCGAGAGGCATACAAGAGACCTCTGGCCCCTGTGCTTGCCCTCCTCCTCCTCCTGCTCCTCCTTCCTGCTCCTACTCCTTCTCTTCCTCCTCTTCCTCCTCCTCCTCCGCCTCCTCCTCATCCTATTCATCCTCCTTCTTCCCACTCCCTCATCCATCCATCCATCCACCTCCTCCTTCTCCTCCTCACTCCTTCGCACGGTTCGGCCGTCCTCCTCTTTGCTGCCGCACTTCCCTGATCACCTCAACTCGCCTGGACATCTTTTCTGGATGGGCTGGTGGGGATATGCAAAGCGTCTAGAAATTTCTACCTGTCGCACCCCAATGCCAGTTTTAGGTCGGGCCGGGCGTTTCGCCTGAGACGCCCTCACCGATTATGACCCTGCAGCTTGAACATTGCTAACATTTTCACGGATTGAGGGCGGGTCGTTTTCAAAAGGTGGCTCTCGCCTTAGCGCCGCGCACACTCGTTTTCAACATGTGCAAGAGTGTCCACGGATTGAGGGCGGGTCGTTTTCAAAATGTGGCTCTCGCCTTAGCGACGCGCACATTTGTTTTCAAACTTTAGAAGAACGTCACGGATTAAGGGCGGTTCCTTTCCAAAATGTGGCTCTCGCCTTAGCGCCGCGCACACTCTTGATACACAGTTGCAAGAGTTTCACGGGTTACCATGATCGATATACCAGAAATTGCGTTTAGGCAGGATTCGCGAATTCAAGGTCGCAACAGTTACGATGATTCGCGGAGTTGACGTCCCAGGAATGGCATTCTGGCACGATTCAGGATCGTCAAGGCGCAACACAGTCAGGTTCACCCGTGGCGTTGGAATACCGAGGATAATGTTTTGGCATGCTTCAGGGTCTTCAAACGGTTGTCTTCCAACGAGGCAGGACTGTGGAAATGAACCGGTGTATGGGCCTGTGAAGAGGGATCTTGGGGGGAGGGTGCACTCCAACATCGTTGATAACTCTTGGGTTTACACTGGTCCTCCTCCTCCTCGTCCTCCGTGGGTAAGGACCACGGCTCCCCAGCTTGTGGCAGGGCCTGCCTGGAGCCGCCGTCGGGCTCGGGCATCGCCGCCCTTGGCAGCGCGCTCTCCATGGCGAAAGAAAGCCACCGCCGCACGTCCCTGAGAAGGGGGTCGACAGGAGGGGGGGTAGAACGAACGGTGCCCAAACTAGACATGCTCGAGCAGCGAAATGCGATTTGATCAGTCTAATTGTTTATAACTATAAATGAATATATCTATATCTATATCTATATCTGTATATATATATATATATACACCGTGCACACAAGAGACCGCAAATTTGCGCAATCATCTGCCTGCGGGGCCCCCACGACGCCGTCAGGAAAAAAGCTCGGAAGGAAAAACGGGCCCCGGGGAACGGGTCAGTGAGCAGGGACCGACCGTCCCGGCATTCCTATAGGCATACCACGACATGTTCTTAGAACCCAAAACTATTCTAAGAACGAAAACAACGTTCTTACAACATAAACCCGATGTGTGAAAACAAGACAGACTCCGCCAGAAATGTTCCAAGAACATTCCGTGGAAACCACGAAAGGTTCTTAGAACATTGTTTGGTAGGGCTATAGGCGAGCCACGACGCGTCGTCACTGCTTGAGGTCGGGACTGATGGGGACCCCGCCTCGAACAACCAGCACGTCGCGTGTCTGGGCGGAGGCGGCGACCCGGAAACCGGCGACGCCTCGCCGCTGCAGCGGCGAGCAGGCCCCCGAGAGCGGCCCCCCCGCCCCGCTCCCGAGCAGGGCGCGGGGGCCCGGGGCCCGATCGGCGAGGCAGGGGCGGCTCGGGGCCGCTGCGTCCCCTCCCCCCCCGTCTAGTCGAAGAGCACACGGCGCAGACATGAACTGTTCGAGTTCCGCGCAGACGTCGTGGATCTGCGCTGGGCCCCCCTCGCTGGCGCGCGGCGCGCGCCAAGGGCGGCGCCAAAAGCGCCGCTAGCGGCACCTGGCGCAGATCCGCGACACCCTCGCGGAGCTCCAGAAGTTGTTGTGTCCCCTCCTCCTCCTCCTCCGCCTCCTCCTCCTCCTCCTCCACCTCCTCCTCCTCCGCCTCCTCCTCCTCCTTCTTCTTCTCCTCCTTCCCCCTCCTCCTCCTCCTCCTCCTGCTCCTCCTGCTCCTCCTGCTCCTCCTCCTCCGCCTCCTCCTCCTCCTCCGCCTCCTCCTCCTCCTCCTTCTTCTCCTCCTTCCGCTCCTCCTCCTCCTCCTCCTCCTGCTCCTCCTCCTCCTCCTCCTCCTCCTCCTCCTCCTCCTCCCCTCCCTCCTCCTCCGCCTCCTCCTCCTCCTCCTCCTCCTCCTCCTCCTCCTCCTCCTCCTCCTCCTCCTCCCCCTCCCCCTCCCCTCCCCCTCCCCCTCCCCCTCCCCCTCCCTGGGCCAGTCCCCCCCTGTCGCTGCCCCAAGTCTGGCTGGGCCCGGGGAGCCTGCGAGGGGTGTGCACACGACGCCCCAGGGCTCGGGGCAGCAGCGCGGCCTTGGATTAGAGAGACTGCTGCGGAGGCGGAGGGAGAGGCCGAGGAGGAGGGAGGAGGAGGAGGAGGAGGAGGGAGGAGGAGGAGGAGGAGGAGCAGGAGGACGAGGAGGAGGAGGGGGGGGGACGACGACGCTGATGGTGACCGTCGCCAGGAGTCAAGAAATCTGCGTCGTTTTCCTGGTCGTCTTCGTCGTCTTCGTCTTCGTCGTCGTCGTCGTCGTGTTCGCCGTCGCCGTCGCTGTCGTCGTTGTTGTCGTCGTCGACGTCGACGTTGGGGGCGGCGCTGCTGGTGACAGTCGCGAAGAGTCAAGGAGGCAGCCTCGGCGACGGTGACGCTAGTGAGGGTCATGAAGAGGCCTCAGAGGAACACAGGACTGCGTAGCCAGAAATGTTTGAAACTCTGCGCCGATTTGGTGGATCAACGCTGGACAACACCTTCAAAGGATCCAGCGCCGATCCAAGAAATCCACGCGGAGCTCCGAAAATGTATGCTATTGGTGATGTTTGCCCTTCGAGGTGCACAGGCGCGGCCCCGCCAATTTTTGGATCTCCTCCTCGGGGTCGAGCTGATCGATCTCTGCCCAGGTGCAGCGTGCCGTCACGATTGTTGGGGCTGCGACTGCTGGATCTCAGCGCCGTCGCCCTCCACGACCAGCCGACATCGAACCCCCGACCCCTCACGCGGTGCATCCTGGCCAGTCTGCCGTTCTCCTATCGATTCAAGACTCCTGACTGCCCCCGAGCACGAGACATCGAAGAACGTCGGCATCGTCGTCGTGGTCGTGCTCGTGGTCATGGTCGTCGTCGTCGTCGCCCTCGTCGTCGCCGCAGGCGCCGCCGCCCACGTCCAGGACCGTTGCTGCGGGATCGTCGTCGTCAGCGTCGTCCTCGTCGTCGTGGTCGTGGTCGTGGCCGTGGTCGTGGTCGTCGTCGTCGTCGTGGTCGTCGTCGTCGTCGTCATCGTCGTCGCCGCCGCCGCCGCCGCCCGCGCCCAGGGCTTTCGCTGCATGGTCGTCGTCGTCGTCATCGTCGTCCTCGTCGTCGTCGTCGTCCACAACGACGTCCTCGTCCTGGTCGTCATCGTCGTCTTCGCCGCCTCCACCGAAGCCGCCGCCGCGGAGTTCGCTGCGGGGTCGTCGTCGACGTCGTCGTCGACGTAGTTGTCGTGTCGTCGCCGCCAGCGCCGCCGCCGCCCATGCCCAGGGCCTTCGCTGCGGGGTCGTCGTTGTTGCCCTCGCCGCCGCCGTCGTCGCCGCTGCCACCGCCGCACACCACTCACAGGACCTTCGCTGCGGGGTCGTCGTCGTCGTCCTCGACGACGTGGTCGTCGTTGTGGCTGTGGTGGTCGTGGTGGTGGTCGTCGTCGTCGTCGCCGCCGCTGCCGCCGTCGTCGTCGTCGCCGCCACCGCCGCCGCCGCCCACGCCCAGAGCTTTCGCTGCGGGGTCGTCGTCGCCGCCGCCGTCGTCATTGACACCGACGACGTGGTGGTCTTCATTGTCGTCGACGTCGTCGTCGCCGCCACCGCCGCCGACGCCCAGGGCCTTCGCTGCGGGGTCTTCGTCGTCGCCGTCGCCGCCGTCGTCGTCGTCGTCGTTGCCGCTGCCACCGCCCACACTCAGGACCTTCGCTGCGGGGTCGTCGTCGTCTTCGCCGCCGTCGTCGTCGTCCTTGTCGCCGTCGTTGTCGTCGTCGTCAGCGTCGCCTTCGGCGTCGTCGTCGCCGTCGTCTTCGTCTTCGTCGTTGTCGTCATCGACTTCGTCGTCGATATGGTCGTCGTAGTCGTCGTCTTCGCTGTCGTCGTCGTCGTGGTCGCGGTCGCCGTCATCGCCGTCGTCGTCGACGTCGTCGCCATCGTCGTCGTCGTCATCAACGTCGTGGTCGTTGTCGTCTTCGTTGTCGTCGTCGCCGTCATCTTCGACGTCTCTGTCGTCGTTGTCTTCGTCGTGATGGTCGCCGTCGCCGTCGTCGTCGCCGCCGTCGTGGTCGCCATTTTCGTCGTCGTCGTCTTCGTCGTCGTCGTTGCCGTATTCGTCGTTTTGGTTTTCGTTTTCGTCGTCGTGGTGATCGCCGTCACCGAGGACGCCGTCGTGATCTTTGTCGTCGTCGTCGTCGTCGTCATCTTCGTCGTCGTCTTCGTCGTCGTCAACGTCGCTGCCGTCGTCGTGGTCGCAGTCTTCGTGGTGGTAATCGTCGTCTTCGTCGTCGTCATCATTGTCGTCCACGTCGCCTTTACCATCGCCGTCGCCGTCGCCCTCGCCGTCGCCGTCGCCGTCGCCGTCGTCGTCGTCGTCCTCGTCGTCGCCGTCGCCGTCGTCGTCCTCCTCGTCGTCGTCGCTGTCGTCGTCTTCGTCGTCGTCGTGGTCGCCGTCGCCGTCGTCGTCATCGTCGTCCTCGCCGTCTTCGTCGTCGTCTTCGTCGTCTTCGTCGTCGTCTTCTAAGCCGTCGTCGTCGTCGTGGTCGCCGTCGCCGTCGCCGTCGTCGTCGTCGTCGTCGCCGCCACCGCCTACGCCCAGGGCCTTCGCTTCGGGGTCGTCGCTGTCGACGACGACGTCGTCGCCTGCCACCCTCTGAGGTGCCTCTGCGGCGAGCGGCCCGGCGGCGGGCCGCTCGGCCTCCTCCTCTGGCTGGGCCAACGGGGCGCGCGCTCTACCTCCTCCTCCTCCTCCTCCTCCTCCTGCTCCTCCTCCTCCTTCTCCTCCTCCTCCTCCTCCTCCTCCTCCTCCTCCTCTTACGACCTCCTCCTCCTCCTTCTCCTCTTCGACCTCCTCCTCCTCCTCCCCCTCCTCCTCCTCCTCCTCCTCCTTCTCCTCCTCCTCCTCTTCCTCGACCTCGACCTCCTGTTGCCTGGCGCAGGGCGCACGCGACGATGAAACGTCGTCGACCTCCTCTTCGACCTCCTCCTGCTGCTGCTCCTCCTGTTCCTCCTCCACGTCATAGTCCGCCTCGTCCTCGTCCGGCTCCTCCTCCTCCTGCTCGTTCTCGTCCACCTCCTCATCGTTTCACGTCGCAAGTATCGGTCCCCAAGCCCATTCGATGACCCGGAAGAGATAAACAAGATGGATGACTAGGAAATCATGCAGGAGAAGAGAGTCGGCCAGCCGGAGCCTGCCCATCCTCCTTTTTCTCAATCGCCTCATCTTCCTCCTCGTTCGCTTCCTCCTCCTCCTCGTCGTCTCCTCATCCTCCTCGTCCTCAGCCTCCCTCTCCCTCCTCCTTCCCCCTAGGACCCGCCTTTCGTCCTCGGTTGTTCTTTGGACGGTCCTGGGCAAGAGAAACCCAGGTATCCGATGTCTTGATCCTTCCCCTGCGGGGTACCCCGAAGTCCAGGCCATTCCCCTACGGCAAATGTCTCAACCTGCGTAGTTTGTCGACGGTCCTGGAGCCCGAAACCGCCGCCCAGAAGCCGACAACTGCGACAGCGCCCGGCTTCCCGATACTGCCAGGCGGTGGAGGTCCGGGCCCTGGAAACGATCCATCCTGGACCGAGGCCGTCTTCTGGGACGGCCCCGGGGTAAATTGGCATGCGGGAAGCGGGTCCTCGTCGTCGTCGTCGCCGTCGCCGTCGTCGTCGTTGTCGCCGTCGCCGCCGCCGCCGCCGCCCA